TTTTTTTTTCTGATTTGTTATTAATCTTTATCATCATCTAAATTCTTGAATCAATTTCAGCATAGAAGAATCAAGATCTGTGTAAATTTGAAGATGCAGTCAGCAGAACTCGAGTGTTTGCATACTGCTCAGTGCTACAAAGCAGAAAGTAAAACCAGCTTTAATTAGATTATTTATATTGCAACATATTTCAAGATTCGGTCTATGTCACTTAAAGACTAAAAAACTATTTTTATTGCCGAACGAGAACTTGTACAGAATTGTCTAAAGACTTTTGCGATTTTAAATTGTACAATACAGCAAAAAAATATATTGTTCAAAATACTAAATCATTTTTTTTTTGCTGTTGTACATATTTACTGAAGTTTTAATGTTCTTTGTTTTAATATTAATTTATCACTACAATTATTCGTTTTTACTAGATATTTTTTATAACTGAATTTTTTTAAAGGTTTTACTGTTTAAAAAAAAAAAAATCTTATTAAATAGCAATTATTTATTGGCAATACAAACAGTTAAAAATTTTAGAAATCTTGTTAAGCCGAAAAATAAAAATTTGAAAACAAAAAACTGCTTAAACATTAAATAAAAATTATTTAAGTATATGCAAAAAAAATTGAGCAAATTAGAATGTTTAAAAATAAAATTTCTTTTTTTTTTTTCTTACTTTTGTCAACTGTAATAATGTATAAATTGTTCTTTAACCAATGCAGTAAAACAGTTTTTTTTTTTCATGAAGGAAGCATAAATATGTCAAAGTAGTTTTAGTATAAGCTGTTTGGTTTTAAAAAATGCTTATTTTGATTAAGCTTTTTTTACCAGCATTCAGATGCAAGTTTTTCCTTTTTTTTTTTGTTTTTGATAACAAAAAAAGAGAAGTTAAACAAAATTAATTAACAATTTTTTTTTACGCAGTTATAAGCTATTATTGGTGAATGACGTCAGATGTATTGTACTGTCTTTTAGGGTGAATATGCATAAAAGTTTTTGAACTTTTTGGGTGGTTTAATTAAAGCAAAAGCTAGTCATGTTTTTTTTCTATCAAAATTAGTAATTAGTCAAGTAATTAGTGTGACAAATGTGTGCCATATGTACAGAAAAGTATGTTTACCTTATTAAGTTAATCAATTACGTTGTCGGTTCTGCTGACTGTCTGTT